GAATTCCTGACATGAAAATTGAGGCCCATTGTCAGACACGACCTCGTCTGGACAGCCAAATCTTGCAAACACTGCCTTCAACTTCAAGATTACCTGCGAGGCAGTGGTTGTCGGCAGGTGAAGTATTTCCAGGAAACGGGAAAAATAGTCAGACACGACAAGGTAAGTGTGTTTGTTATGATCACACAGGTCCATCGCAAGTCTCTTCCAAGGCCGGTCAGGAAGGGGGGTAGAGATGAGAGGTTCTTTCCGCTGGCTGGGTTTCCTCTCACGGCATACCTGACAAGACTGGACTTTTTTCTGGATTTCTGATGAGATGCTGGGCCACCATACGGACGCATGGGCTCGCTCTCTACACTTTGTCAAACCTTGGTGTCCGTCATGTATTCGGTCCAGGATGTCTGTTCTGAGCACATCTGGAATCACCATACGGCTACCTCTGGTGACGATCCCATCGCACTCTGAGAATTCAGCTTTCATGGGAAAATATTCTCTGATTGCTCCTGGGACCTGGCCTATGTACTCTGGCCACCCTGACTTTATGAACTGCAACACCAGTTGAAGGTTACTGTCGGCTGCTGTAGCTGTCTTTATGGCCTCAAGCTTACGTGGGGATGTAGGCAGGGCGTCTACTACGGCTGCTACATAGCATGCTACGTCTGAGTGAGTTTTCTGTCTCCGTTTCCAGGGACTGTAATGGACTCCGTGAGAGTGTGTCGGCCACCGCTAGGGTCTTCCCTGGTGCATATTCGGCCATCGGTTTAAATCTCATAAGTCTCATGAGTAGTCTTTGGCACCGTATTGGCACTTTGTCTAGGTCTTTCTGATTCATGAGTGGCACCAGAGGTTTGTGGTCCGTTACTAACTTGAAGCTCTCAAGGCCACACAGGTACTTTTCAAATTTCTCACAGGCCCAGACGCACGCCAAACACTCTTTCTCTATCTGTGCATATCTGGTCTCGGCATCCGACAGGCTACGTGAGCAGTATGCCACAGGTTTCCATTCCTCGTCATGTAGCTGCATCAACACTCCTCCTATACCATAACTGCTGGCGTCAGCAGAGACAGCGGTAGGCCGGTTCACATCGTAGAACTTCAGGACAGGAGAAGTGGACAGGATGTCTTTAATCTGCTGGAATGCCTCCTGTTGGGAGTGGTCCCACGTCCATACTGACTTGGACTTTAACAGATCATAAAGTGGGTTACACTCTGTAGACAAATTTGGAATGTATTTCCCCAAGTAATTGAACATGCCCAAAATACGCTTTAGGTCTTGCACGTTCTGTGGTGGTGGGAGCTCGCGAATTGCCTTGACTTTTTCAGGGTCAGGTCTTACACCCGATTTGTCAATGACATGACCCAGGAAGTGAAGCTGGTCCTGCCTAAACTTACACTTTTCTTTGTTTAGCTTTAGGCCAGCTGACTCGATCCTTTCCAGCACCTTGCTGAGACGTTGGTCGTGCTGCTCTGGTGTATCTCCATACACTAGGACATCATCCATGAAGATAGCCACGCCCAACAGGCCATTGAGGGTCTCTGTCATTTTGCGTTGGAAGATTTCCGGAGCACTTGTGATTCCAAATGGGAGTCTTTTAAATGCATATCGGCCAAAGGGTGTTATGAAGGTGGTTAATTTGGTGCTTTCAGGGTGTAGAGGTATCTGCCAAAACCCGGAGGCGGCATCCAGTGACGTGAACATGGTTGCGCCACTGAGTTTAGCTGTAATTTCCTCAGCAGTTGGAAGGACGTACCTCTCTCTCCTTACAGTCTCGTTTAACCTCTTCAAATCAACACAGATGCGCACTTTCCCATTTTTCCTTGGGACTGGCACCATAGGCGCGCACCAGTCAGTGGGCTCCGTCACAGGCTCAATCACCTCATTTTCCTCCATTCGTTTTAATTCCTCTTTTACTTTTTGCAGTAGAGGCAACGGGACACGACGAGCAGTGTGCACTGCGTATGGCTCAGCATTATCTCTTAACCGGATTTTAACGGGTTCGGTTTTGAGTGTTCCGTGCTCACCGAATGCTGTGTGGACTTCCTCGACACGTTTCACAAGCCCCATGGTCATTGCGGTGGCTCTGCCTAGCAGATTGTTTGCGTTGTGGCCATCGATGACGTATACTGGAAAACTGTATGGATTTCTTTTATATTCTGTGCTTGCTTGGAACTTTCCTAAACAGTCCAACGGACCACCTGGACTGCACAGTGTGATATTAGATGGCTCCAATTTCTTGTTGGGAACTAGTTTGTTAAACTCCTCTGCTCCCATTATGTTTACATCTGCACCCGTGTCAATTTTAAATTTGACCGGTGTTGCTCCAATTGTAAACTCTATTGTCCATCGTTCATCACTTGTGTTTTTATTTGTGACTGCACCCAGAAAGTATGGTGTCTGTGAAACAGTCTCTGTCACTTCTCTGACTGTTTTACTATAACATTTCTTTTCCCAGTGACCCGCCTTCTTACACTTGTTGCATGTGGAGTTCTTGGCTGGGCACCTTTCTGGATCGCTGTGTTTTAATTTTCCACATTTTCCACAGTTTGAGTCTGCTGTATAATTTTCTCTTTTAGGTTTCCACTTGGGCTTTCCTCTGCCTAATCCCCTCCCGCGAATTTCCTGTACTGCTGCATGTGACTCCCCCTGCAGGTGAACTTGGAGGGCAACCTCTTCAGACTGGCGAACAGTTGTAATCGTTTGGGCAAGTGTAAGATCAGCCATTAGCTGCAATTTACGTGACAAGTCCTTGTCCAAAATGCCCACAACAATGGGGTCGCGGATGTGTTCGTCTTTATTTACCCCAAAGTCACAGTGTTCTGATAGCTCATATAGGGCTCTGATAAACATTTCAGCTTTCTCACCAGGCCGCTGTGATCGCTGGTGAAAACAGGCGCGCTCGTGAATCACGTTGCGTTTAGGATAGAAGTATGCGTCGTATTTTCCCAACACAACGTCAATCTTCTCCTCATCCCCCTCCGTTTCAAATGTGAAAGACTTGAAAATGTTTTCAGCCTCAGGTCCCATGGCATAAATCAGCGAACTGACCTGCACGTCGCCGTCCTCTTTACTCAGTTTAGTGGCCAGCCGAAATCGCAGGAAACGTTGTTTCCAGTCAGCCCATTCATTTGGACGATCAAAAGCAAAACTTTCCGGTGGATGAAACTTGGCCATCTTTTTAGAGAAGCAATGTGTCCGTCAAACACTTCTGACACCATGTAAATAGTTCAGATATACACAGGAGACTCAGGGTTCAATGAACATTTGTATTGAACTTCACACAGTCGCATACAGGCAAGTGCTCCAACTAAAACCCAAAACTTCCTTCCCTCGGGCGCGAGCCTTCCCGGTAACGCGCAGCTTGCATACGTAACAGAATGCCCTTAAAGCCATAGTCACATTTACATGTGCACATTATATGACAAAAATAACTCAAAGAAGACGATGTAAGGTGGTAGTCACCCATGAATGTGAATAGTGAGCCATACTTTGAACTAGTCATCATGTCAAGATCATTGAAATAAACACCAAGAGCACCTGGCGGATGATAAAGGACATCATTGATAAGCTTGAATAGATGTATCACATTGGCAGCTTAAATTCAAGAGAGAATGGGTAGCTGTGGGAAGTGGGAAGAAGTGTCTTTGGCAGCGATACCCGCATCACATTTGATTTGTCTTTACCAGCTATGCAGAGATGGCTGTCCTTCTGTCTGAGTCTCCCATGTGTGCAGAGAAGCGTTAAGAGTGTCCATTGGGTTCTTGGTCACCTATTTGACCAAGGCCTTTCTTGCGTGATTACTTTGTTAAGTCTTTATCACAACAACATCTGGATAAAGTGAAGGGATCTGAGTAATTTATTTTCTACACATTTTTTGAAAGACCCTTAAATTAAAGCCCTATAAATTACACAAGAGTATCTACTTCAATTGTCCTTGTGTATTTGTGTTTTACATTTCAGGTCTTCTGGAGAAGGAGAGGGGCGCCAACAAGCAGCAAGCTGACGAGGCTGAGAAAAAGGTTAAAGTCTTACAGGGTGGGCCTTCTGTTATGTTAAAAGTTGCCCGTGCTCTTTCCCACAAATGCTTTTGGGGGATTAAGCAATTTATGCTAATGCCTGGGCAAATCAGTTTGTGATTTGCGCACATCTCTGTAAATGAATGCAGGCTAGTAAATATGCGCCTGTTGAAGTTTCTGTGTTGTTGGTTCATTCTTGTGAGATCTTCATGCACAATATTACCCTCACTTAGCGTCAACGCCAACAGATTGGATTTACACAAAAAATTTCAAGTGTTATAACAAATGTTTCAAGTGCTCCAAGCCTTTTAAAATGTATGGGGCGAAGTCCACCAACATGAGTATTAGAAATCAGCCCCAAGTTACTGCAATAACCTTTCACATCCTCAACCATAACCATCTACGTAAGCAGGCCAGCTGCGACAGCTACAGGATGAGCTGGGTCTCCTCAGAGACCAGAAAGACAGCGTCGCCCGAAAGTCACAGGAGGAAATGCGCGGAGCCCAGGAGGAGGTGAAGACTCTGCGTCGTGCCCTGGAGGCTGCCACCGCCGATCGGGAAAGGGAGGTCGGCGCTGTCAAGGGTAACCTAGCAACAATCTCTAAGGAGATGGAGAAGTGGCGCCAGATGGCCAGCAAGTACGAACGCGAGATCAATGGCCTACAAGGTGACCTACAACTGCAGAGCAAGCAGTGGCAAAAGGCTGCAGAGTCACAAGGTACAACACAGTGCAGTGAAAATGCAATAAATATTTCACCAGGAATTGGCATTTTATGTGGATAAGGTTGAATATGTGTAGACAAACTTGCTACATATTTGCCAAGCCAAGTGTAGTTAAAGTGTAAGTACTTATGCTAGAAGTCTGGACGTGAAACAATGTTGATCCTGTGGTTATCATAGGATCCACATTTGACAAAACATTTAAGTAATTTAACAGACTCATATCAAGAGTGTCTTCACAATAGGGAGAGTATCATTTTTCCACTGGCCCCCTGCGGGAATTGAACCTACAACTTTGGCATCGTTAGCATCATGATCTACCAACTGAGCGACACGGGACCCAATTTGATGCTATACTGAGGCGTGTATGAGTGTCCCTGTGGTTTTTCTACAGCAGGTGAACTGGAGTCTGTGCAAAGGGAGTGCGCCGGTCTCCAGAGAGAAGCTTTGGCCCTGCGCTCGGAGAAACAGGACATGCTAAGTAAACACCAGAAGGAGTGTGCTGCCCTCAGGGCTGAGAAGGAGGAACTGCTCCGGGCTCACCAGAAGGAGAAAGGAAACCTACAAAACGAGAGTGCTGTCATGCGCTCAGAAAAAGAGGCAATGCTGAAGAAGCAAAAGGAACTTGAGAAGGATTTGGCCAGGTCAGTCTTCACAGCATAGTTTGACACAACTTCTGTTGGGAATGAGAAAATTAAACAGTGTTCATTGAGTCAAGGTTGAGAACCCACTGCTCCTGAATGGTCCCAGTATTTGCACAGACCCTGTCACACCTTTGCACGTACGTGCACAAACCCATTTTCACGCACGGGCAGATTAACTCAATAAGTCTCAACACAACACATTTTTTTACAGGCCCTCCTGCGTGCACATGTTTGGGCGTTCAATCAATCAATCAAATGTATTTTATAAAGCCTTTTTTACAATGACAGTTGTCACAAAGTGCTTTTACAAACACCCAACCTGAAAGTGCACGCATCAACAAGTTTGAATACAGCGGCTAGGAAAAACTCTGTTATGGGTGTTCTCTTCTTTATTTTTATTTTTTTCCACATTGTAGAAAAATAGTGATGATGTCAACACTATAAATTATAAACAAATTAGATATTTTAGATATTTCAAAGTTGCCATTCTTTGTCTTGGTGACAGCTTTACATACTCTTCTCTCAATCAGCTTCTTGAGGCTTGTTTGTCATGGTTTTTGGTATTCCTAATTGATTATTTTGACGAATCAGGATTGGGGAAAAAGTGATTGGTGTAGTGATTTTAAGACGTTTTTATTTTATTTTATGGCCACAAGGTGAAAAAGTACTATAGCCTATTGTGTTTCCCCCGTTGGTTAAACAGGATATTAAATCAGGCTGTTAACTTAAAAAAAAATATTTACAGAGAATACACACAACCTGAAGGTTACACATCATTTGTATACAGTACATGCACGTTTTACTGCTCCTGACCTCTATCTTCCTCTGCCTTTCATCTTCCTCATCATCCTTTCTTACCTGGTTCAGTTCGAGTGCCCAGACTGCTGAACTAAGCAGGAACCTGCAGGCCCTGGAGCGTCAACAGGGGGAGATGGAGAAGAGGTTGGTAGCCCTGCAGGAGCAACACCAACAGGACAACACCAAGCTCCTGAACCAGCTGGACCAATCTGACAGACGCACCAAGGACCTGCAGAGAGAGGTGACATCAAATTGTCTTCTCCCTTCCGGACATGACTGAATATTTTCAGAAGTTGGTGACGTTGGTGACGTTGGTGACGTTGGTGACGTTGGTGACCTTGGTGACCTTGGTGACTTTGGTGAAGTTGGTGACGTTGGTGACCTTGGTGACCTTGGTGACGTTGTTGACCTTGGTGACCTTGGTGACGTTGGTGAAGTTTGTGACGTTGGTGACCTTGGTGACCTTGGTGACATGCTTATGTTCTGACACGTGTGATATAAAGTAACACATAATGATTGCAACCCTCTTATGTTAGCTCAGTGACCATTTCAAAGAGGGTGGAAGGGATCGATGCACGCTCTAAGGGCCTGGTAGAAGGGCTATGCTTACTGTATGAATGTTTTATGAATGCCCTGGGATATTTATAACCTTTCTGTTTTTAGTATGAAGAGACCCAGACCGACCTGACTGACCTAAAGGAAACCTTTCAAAGGACCGACAAGGAAAAACAGTCAATCGCTGAGGAGCTTGAGGAGTGTAAAGCAGATCTGATGATGCTGAGGGAGAAAGGAAACAGAGTAAGTCATCCACTATAAACACATTCCAGAAGCATCTTTTGTTCTTTGACCATCCTTGAGATGTTGTTATTGGAGTTAAGGGCATATGACATGCCATCTGAAAGAATTTGGTAAAAATCGTATTTATCTGATGAGACCAAAATCAAAGCGTAAAGCCTGAATGCCAGATCTGGCAAAAAAGTATTACTTATATCCTAAAGTATTACTTATATCCTAAAGTATTGGTTGTTGGATGGTGGATGCTTCTCAGCAGAAGGGCCTTATATATAAGAGATATATTGTACTCATTATGCAGCATTGTGTGTACATTGATATTTATTTTTTCAGTTAAATAATTCTGTCAATTACACACAACAAAAATTGCTGCTTATAAAATTGCATGGGTATTTAAATATGCCCAGAGACACAATATTTTATGAACAAACATCTATACATTGGTTGATTTGATTATTTGACTTCCATGTGGTCACTACCAGTCCATGTGGTCACTACCAATCTATGTGGTCACTACCAGTCCACATGGTCACTACCAGTCCCTGTGGTCACAACCAGTCAATGTGGTCACTACCAGTCCACGTGGTCACTACCAGTCCCTGTGGTCACAACCAGTCAATGTGGTCACTACCAGTCCACGTGGTCACTACCAGTCCACATGGTCACTACCAGTCCCATGTGGTCACTACCAGTCCACGTGGTCACTACCAGTCCACGTGGTCACTACCAGTCCCATGTGGTCACTACCAGTCCACGTGGTCACTACCAGTCCACGTGGTCACTACCAGTCCATGTGGTCACTACCAGTCCCTACTATGTCCTTTTCATGTTGGTGATGTCACTTCCCTTCTGTAGACTTCCTTATTGCTGCCTGTCCAAGCCATTCTCATCGGCCTTATCCTGGCTTTGCTGTATTGGTGTTTCGGCGCATTATGGTAGAAAGGTACACCCTTCTCCTGTCTAGTCAACGTGGCTTATATCATGTGTTGTTCATTTCTCCCAGCACACAGCATGAAAATTAATTTTATAATAAAAATTAATAATAAAACGTATTATATCCCTCATGAAAAATGTATAATTTCTAATCAGACTGCGCAACTTCTTACATTTATGTGGCATCGTTGACATCTAAGAAATCTATTTTTCCATGGGCTGATTTTTGTCCTGTTTTCTTGTTTTGAAGGCGCTGCTTTAAGCCGTCATTGTTCTCTGTGCATTCCATGACAGCTTCGGCCAATCCGGTGGTGCATAGAAGACTTAGGGCATCCAATAGGATCGTGCTGATGTCAGCAATTTCTGTTTGTGTGTTTCAGAGCGGATGGATCGCCTGGGTGCCTCATGCAGTTGCCGTGGTTGCGACTCTGTCGGCTGTAGTGCTGTACGCCAGGATCTGAGTCTCTCTCTCACAGACACACACACACACACACGCACGTGCACACCTATACACACTAGTGCAAACATGTACACATAGGTACATGCTTATTGTCAGACAGCTACATGTACACTAAACCTCTAAAACATTGCCTAAACTGTTCTTTACTAATGTTCAGATGTTGTAGCAGGGAGAGCGCTTGGTTTGAAACCTACATAGTTTAACCAATATATTTTAGAGAGAAATTAGATAGTGATTGTCAAATGCACTGTTTTATCTTCCTAAAGTTATGTTTCAAGAACTTTTTCTCTTCTGTTTTACATTTAGGACTCATATGACATCAACATTGAATGTAAATATATCGTCCACACTTTAGTTATTACTAATAATATATACTTGGATATTATTGCAATATGTCCTTTTGTCCAGCCGCCCTAAACACTTTATTTATGTTTGAGTCCTGTAAAATACAATATACAATTAATTCAATGGAATACATTTTTGGACCAACTTTAACCTACTGCTTTGCGACACCGTGGCTACATTTGCATAAATGGTAGCATACGCTATCTTTTCTGTGATGAGGAAGGCTAAGAAACTCAGAGATGAAGTTAGAAGTTTCCAATTAATTTGATTTCAAAAGGCCTACCTCCGGTTTGCATGGATTTCACCTCTAAGATCATCCCAGTTCACTTCATCATAAAATGTTCAAGCATAGCCTTTAACAATGTAAATAACTGTGCAAAATGTACTGAATTTCAGTAAAGATAGGACGTTTGTAAAGAAAGGTATTTGTAAAGATAGGAAACATGATCGCCTAATATAGCTTACGTGCCAAGTTAAACAAATCGGTGTGAAATGTACTGTATCTGTGACGTCAAATAAAAATATATATCGTAAATCATTATCCTTTTTCTTAAAGTTAAATTGAGCTCTTGCTGTTGCCATCTAATCCTACCTGCAGCATGGTAAAAACAACTGCTTGACTGTATATTGTCTTAATGTTTACAGTAGGCTAGGGCATGCATTGAGCAGGTAGACTACATACCATGCTTGCGTTATTTGACCTGACCTTCTGGTGGAAATTACCACAGTATTTATACTCAGAAAAGTGGTTGGAGGAATACAGTGCCTATAGAAAGTATTTTATGTCTGCGACTCAGTTTCAATTACTTAATTAAGGATTTTGTTCCAACTCATATATATATATATATATACACCATAATCTTTATATACAATTGTTTACAAACTGTACATCCAATATTTCATTCCAGAAAAATAGGTGTAATTTCAAGCTCTGTCAAGTTTTCATTGAAGGAGCATTGCACATTCCACTTTGTAATTATTTTCTTGCCCAGGCAATTAGTTGGCCTTTGAAATGTATTTATACCAATCCTCTAAACATAACTTTCTCACATCATTTGCGACGTGGTCGCTGGTCGGGTTTGTGGAGTGTGAAATGAATATAAAAAGTCCACTGACCCCCAAAATGTCGGGTTTTTGTGATAAAATTAGATAAAGATAAATCATGTCAGAAATCTTCCACCTTCAATCTTCCACCTATAATGTGAAAAATTCATATAATAATCTAATAATAACCTGGTTGCATAAGAGTGCACACCCTCTTATACGCTGGGCTGTGGTTGTGGCTGTGTTCTGAATTATCCAATTACATTCACACTCATGTTGAATAGAAGTGATTACACACCTGACATCATTTATAGTGACTCTGATT